AAGGAAGAATTGCAACAGTACTGCTAAAACAGATTAAAATTACTTCAATTTCCTAAGCATCTGGGTAGGTTTGTCTAAATAAGAATGTATTTAGCTGACAAGAGTGCGGTGAAATATTTCACTGCCAAAAGTATGCATTAAGGACTTTCCAAATCCATATCACATCATTAAATAGATGCACAAACAGTCAGTTAGTGATATTTTCATGCATTTAGGGCATAGGACTTAAGGCGCATGTTTCTGCAGGAGACTGTGTTGTAAGCAACACTACAAATGAACATTTGAAGATTCTGCTGCAGGACTGAGGAAACTTTTCATCCTGGCAGCTGGATCTAAAGTATGCTGCAAAAAAAAAAAAAAAAATGATCCTGGCCAATCCAAGCAGGGATTGGTTTCAATTGGAAGCCCCTGAGTGGAACCAACCTCAGTGAGGTTTGCATTTGGCATCAAATTTAAAAAGCAGTGAATCACAAGCCCCACTTGCCAATGAACAATCAGGGGTTGCAGCCTTGCCTTTATCTGCCTCACACCTGAGCGGGGCTTTGGGAAAAACAGTTGCAGGTCAAATTAGACCCCCTTTCAGGTTTAATTAGGCCTTTGGGCCAGAAGTTCCCATCTGCTTTACTTTTGCATTCAGCATCAACACTTACATCAGCAGGATTGAGACCTCAGTTACTGAGTCTTACTTGAATATTTAATGCTTGGACATAAAATAACACTGAAGTTTTACAATTCTATAACAGAATGAACCACCCGTTTTCTATTTGCTATTTGAACACACCTGTCACAAGTTTTGACTCAGGATCTCTTGTAAACAAAAACAAAATGCCTCTCTGGAGCAACCTACTTTTCTCATGCATCCTGATAATTTTAAGAAGAGCAAAGAACTATGGGATAATAAATATGACGTGTCTAATCACAATATTGGCATTTACATGTCATAAAGCAAAGAGCTATGCGGTAATCTGTGTCTCAGTTCTAGAAGGACCTTCTTCAGGATTTTTGTTGACTGAGAAGAAGACTCTGATGAAACTCCAGATATGAGTGCTGTACTAAATACATTACAAATACAAAATATAAATCCAGACACTTTGCACCCAACCAACTAAACCTGACAGTAAACAAGCAGCAGCCTCTCAAAGCGGAAAGTTGCCGCTTCAGCAACTTTCCTTGTACTGTATCATGATGTTACATGTTTTCTCTTTGACCAACTGCCACAAGCAAGAAGATGCATAATGTTGCAACATTATGAGATGAAACAGGTTATATTAGAAAAGAAGGAACTGCAACAAAATGTACTCCTGCTTGCAGCAAGTTGGACTTAAATGACCCTTGGGGTCCCTTCCAACTTTCCAATTCTATGATCCTACTACTAACCCTAAAAAGGAATTATCCTAGATCATGGGTAGGCAACCTAAGGTCCGGGGGCTGGATCCGGCCCAATTGCCTTCTAAATCTGGCCCGCGGACTGTCCGTGAATCAGCGTGTTTTTACATGAGTAGAATGTGTCCTTTTATTTAAAATGCATCTCTGGGTTATTTGTGGGGCAAAGGAATTTGTTTGTTTATTTTTCAAAATATAGTCTGGCCCCCCACAAGGTCCCTCAGACAGTGGACCGGCCCCCTGCTGAAAAAGTTTGCTGACCCCTGTCCTAGATCCAGCCACCTGGCACAGGGCTTTGAGGCCACTTGTAAGAGGCAGTGGGATGGGTGGGGAAATGTCTACTCTAACATAACAGGAACATAGAACGTCTTATACAGAGCCAGGCCACTGTTGCAGCTTAGTACTGTCTACTCTGATGGGCAGCAGACCTCAAGGGTTTCAGACAGATGACATTTCCAGTCAGACCTGGAGATGCTGAGGACTGATCTTGGGATCTTCCGCATGCAAAACAGCTGCTCCACCCGTGAACTATGACTCTGCCCCCTAATGCCTGCTGTAACAATGTGATCATTCATAAAACAGAGTAGGCTTTTCACTTCAGAATGCAGATTTAACCAAAACCCATATTAAGATTTTGCTCTCTGAATGGGAACATTACTCCAAAAGTCCGTTTTGCGGGTGCCACAAAGAAATTACAGTGGTACCTCGGGTTAAGTACTTAATTTGTTCCGGAGGTCCGTACTTAACCTGAAACTGTTCTTAACCTGAAGCACCACTTTAGCTAATGGGGCCTCCTGCCGGAGCATGCTGCCGGAGCATGATTTCTGTTCTCATTCTGAAGCAAAGTTCTTAACCTGAAGCACTATTTCCGGGTTAGCGGCGTCTGTAACCTGAAGCGTATGTAACCTGAGGTACCACTGTACTTGCCTTTTTCATTGTTGTAACGAGATATTCCTTGCCTCTGATGATTAGCAGCATTAACAATCTCATCCTTGCGCCTTGCTCGGGTAGCACAGATGGCTTCCAAATGACATCTCAAAGTGGCAGATATGTTCCCATGGACAGGATGACCACAAAGCCGCTCCATTTTCCCAACTAAAGTGTGTACCTAAAAAAGAAGAATACTTCATTAGGGTTTTTAATACTTAAAAACAATCAGATAGCCAAAATCAGCAGCTAGGCACTTCACGCTGAATGTGAGAACGCAGCTAATCTAAATTTAGTAGAAAATAGTTTGGAGGAGAAGCAGTTAAAAGCAATTCAGCCATGAATAGAAGCGACACTCCTCATTGCAGCATGAGAAACATAAAACTATGCTATGAAATTACTGGCAGGCAGGGAAAGCAGAGGAAGCAAGGAAAACAGTGAAGTGGCCCTTCAGGGTTCAAGCATCCAGCCATCCTCATTTGTATTGTACATTCATTTATATTTCTATCCTACCTTGCCTAAGCTTGAAGGAACACACAAAATAGCCACTTTAAACCAGAAGCCCAACAGTTCCCAAACTCCTTTTTAAGATGAGTCTTCCAACCCCTTCTAAAGGCCATCACAGTTTTTCTTCCTCTGGAAGGCTGCTGCCCACCTCAGACTGGGCTAACATAATTTCTCAAAAATGTGACGAAGCAAAGCATCAACCAGATCTTGGGTGAATGTGCTTACTCTTGCCTGCTCCCGGAACTGGTCCACAATCAGACGATCCACTCGGGAAGGCTTGTCAGGAAGGCGGGAGAAGGGAGCGTTATTTGAGCTGGATACCTGCTTCCCTGGGAAGTTTCTGGCCAGATCTGCCTCTGCCTGAAGAGAAAGCAATAGAATTAATGGAATATGTTCCTCTCTATTGCTTTTCCCCATCCTCTCCACCCGTTTGTAGCTGGCGAGAAAAAAAGTAAAAATGCTCCCCGGTTTCCTACCATCAACCCCAAAAAGCCTGCATACAAAAAAACACTCGGGCAGTGAACAACAGGCACTATGCAATCATTCTTGGCCATATAAGAAGGCAATTTCAGTCTTGCCCCAGTCCTCCTGGAAGCTGGAGACAATGAAGAGGCCATGCAGATTATGTTATCCAAACTTGGAAAAAGATTTGTCAGGGCTGGATATGGTCCCCAGTCGTAAGTTTTCCCACCTCTCCACAATGTTACCAGTACAGTGGTGCCCCGCAAGATGAATGCCTCGCAAGACGAAAAACTCGCTAGACGAAAGAGTTTTCCGTTTTTTGAGGTGCTTCGCAAGACAAATTTCCCTATGGCTTGCTTCGCAAGATGAAACGTGTTGCGAGTTCTTACGAGTTTGTTTCCTTTTTCTTAAAGCCGCTAAGCCGTTAATAGCCGCTAAGCCGCTAATAGCCGCTAAGCCGCTAATAGCCGTGCTTTGCAAGACGAAAAAACCGCAAGACGAAGAGACTCGTGGAACGGATTAATTTCATCTTGCAAGGCACCACTATAATGCTATTAACATAAAAGCTAATGTCACTATTAACTTCCCTAGGTTTCACCTTGCTAGAGACTATGTTACCTTTTTGCGTTCCCTCTCTAGTGCTCTCCACTGTTCATAACAATCTTCTAGATGACTATGGAGCTCATTTGCAGCTCCACTGCGATGCTTTGGAGGTCTATAGTGGTTAAGAGGTGGTGGAAAGGCCAAGTATTGTGCAGGCAAATCTCCACAGAAGAGTTTGTTAAAGAAAGGACTCAAATAGGGTAGGTCATCATAGTGAAGGAGGTCAGCAAGTTCAGACAACGGAAATGGCAATGGAGAAAATGCAACATTAGCTGGTGATGAAAATGTGGGAGGATTAAATGGGGGAAAATTAGGCATATGTTTATAACCAGGCATTAATGGGAAGAGAGGTAGGAAAGAAGGATTGATGAAGTCAGACAAATTGCTGCCGTTCTGTTCTTCTGCTCTTCTCAATATATCAGGCTGCGTTTGATTCGGGCTTGCATAGCCTGGGTGTGGAATCCAATTATTTTTATGTCTTCTCTCATTCTGCCTAGTTCTCTCATCAGTACTGAACTGGCTTTGCTTTTTATGAAAACTATAGTGTTTCGCAGACTCATTTATGGAATGCTTTTGTGACAGCCATCTGGAGGAAGCATTTGTGGATACTTCACCACAGTATCCCTCTCTAGTAGCTAAGGAATCCTTCTGGGTGTGTCCAATAGGGTTAGGTTGCTTCCTATTTTCATTGCAGTTTGAAAACCCTGAGCTGTTAGGAATGTTAGCAGAGATGTGTTTCCCATCTTTTCTTGAGTTCAACATTGGTGCCGCCTGTGCATAAGAAGGCTGGGCTATAGATGGACTGGTGGAAGATCCACCAGACTGAGTTGAACACCTTGAAGACAACTGAGAACTCATTTGCTTTTGCTTCCCATAAGTTGCAAACGATGTAGCCACCGGATTTAGTATCTTACTATCCAGCCATGTATATCCATTGTAAGATGAATTCATATTCTGCAGTGCTGGCTTAAGAGGCAAGTGATTACAAGATGCTTTCTGATGATGTAAGGACATCTTACATTCAGTATTGCCAAAGTTCCCCTCTGTAGTGATGCAACTGTGGTTATTTTGTGGGTGGTTTTCCTGCAGTTTTGCATTCCTTCCTTCCGGAAAGCTATTCTCTTTATTAAGTGGACTGAGAAGGTATGGAGATGAGCAACTAAACTGTTGAGAGTCATAAGCAGCTGGAAAACCTGTATATTTCATATTCTGCTGGATCACTGGATCCCATATTCCATCAGCGGGAGAATTAAACAATTGAGTGAAATATTTGCTTGATCCTTCTGTGTCATTTTCACAAGCACGCCTCTTGCATGGTCAGCTTTCTGGAGTTCTTTAGCAGTATTCGTGCTATCTTTTATTCTAGTATGAGATGAGAAAGTGCTAAAATCAGTATGGCTCTTCCCATTTCCACTGTTTAACTGATTTTTGTTATAACTGGCTACATTCTGATATGCAAGTCCACCTTGGTGATTGATTCCATTACTCTTAAAAGCCTTGTTTTCTGAATCAGCATTCTTCAAAATCTCAGCAGGTGACCGACTGCAAGGATCAGAAGTCACAAGCCAGGATCCTATAGCATGGAGATCTTCAAGTTCTTTCTTTAGTAGTTCTATGGATGATGACTTTTGCAAGTTTTCTTCATAAATATGTTGAGTACCAACTAAGTTTGTAGGATCTTCATTTTCCAAGCATTTTGTAGGGAAAAGCCCTGAGAGGTTTTCAGTTTTTTCAAAGTCTGATGACCACACTGGTGGAAATAATCTTGATAGAGAATTCCTGTAACAAACCAACAATTTAGTGCTAAAGACATTTTGTTTCTACAACATAACAGATGAAGCTGCTTTATACATTCAAATCAATGAACCACCTGCCACTGTATTATCTACATTTAACAGGCAAGAGGTATTTTCCAGCCCACTGGTTGAGATCCCTTTTCAACTGGAAATGTCAGAGACTGAACCCCATTTGCCTCCTCTAACAATCTTTGTGTTCATAAATTCAGAAAAACATGTCATTTATGCTGACAACATTAAAATGTGAGGCTTAATCTACTCTTTTGCTGAGCTGAATGTCATCTTATGAGTTTTATTATGGTGAAAGAGCAGAACAGCTTGACCTATACAGAAGATCTGGGGGATGAGGTGAAGCAATCTTAGCCTGATATAGAATTGTAGAGTTGGAAGAGACCCAAAGGGTCATCTAGTCCAACCCCCTGCAATGCAGGAATCCCAACTAAAGCATCCATGACAGATAGCCACCCAACCTCTGCTTAAAACCTCCAAGGAAGGAGAGTCCACAACCTCCATAGGGAGACCATTCCATTGTCAAACAGCTCTTACTGTCAGAAAGTTCTTGCTGATGTTTAGTCGGAATCTGCTTTCTTGTAACTTGAAGCCTTTGGTTTGAGTCCCACCCTCCAGAGCATATATGCTTAGATTGCCTAGGAGACCTTTCCTGCCAGCTAAGGCCAACTGCAGAACTAGGGGGAGATTATTATTATTTTTGTAATCATGGCTGGACAGGGAAGGGTTAAATCTCCACTCCCTGAAAGCTAGATTGATTAAAATTACCCTCTGTGTCTTATATTACATTTTTTAAACCCTGTTGTGTGTAGTTGCTAAGAACTAACTCTGACCCTTAGAAGCAGACCAAATAGGCTGATTTTAGAGGAATGTTATTAGTTATTCTACAGGGTATTAATTGTTTTATTAGGAATAGCAGGCCATAGAGTGCTGCCCTATGTGATCAGTGAAAGTATTCTTTTTTTCCTTTTTTGAGCTCTGAAGGAATCTCACTCCTAGTTCTGAAGTGGTTGGCATTTTAAGTGCCATCTGCTGGTGGAGATAGGCATTTATTTACCAATTTAGACTGCTGCAGCAAAAGAAAGAACCATTTAAACAAGTCCAACCTGCTTCTTTTCCTACAGTTGTCTAGATCGAATAAGGCTCTGGCTGCCATTCTTGAGTGCTATTGAATTCAATCTGATATTCTGAAGGACTCCTCTAGACAACCTGTTTAGCAAGGCCAAGAGGGGGGGTCTTATCAGATGGGCAGCCCAGGACCTCCATATACACTGCCCAAGCTTGTGTCCAGGGGAGGTCTCTTCAGACAGATGGGTGCCAACCTCCTGATCTGCTCACACCCAACTTACAGAGAATTTAGACTACATCTGGGCTTCATTGAGCATTTGTTCTGATTTGTCTGTGATATGACAATGAGCGTTCATCCTGATTTGCTTTGCAAAGTGTTTACATGTCTTGCCATTAACCATCTGTTAATCTCCTACTTTTCAAACCAGTTTCCCATCACCTTATAAACAGCAAAAGTCTGGCCTTTTTAAAGTGGATTGGTTGTGCTATGTCAACAGAGCCTTTAATTCATTTTGATTGTGCAAACTTAGGGCTTGTTCACACTTCTGCTTGTCCAGCCTCTTTCCCCTAGGAAAACCCGTTGCTGATCATTGAATCAAAATGTACGTCCATCGTTTTTCCTTTAGCTTGATGTTTGTTCTGATTCAGTGGTAAACCGCAGGTTTTCCCAGGGAAAGTGTCAGGGCAAATGAAAAAATGCTCTGAAAGCACGGGACAAATGAAAAACCTCTTGGATCCATGGAACAAGCAGAAGTGTGGACAAGCCCTTAAAGTTTTGATATGCCCTTGAATTCCTTCCGCTAAAGACTTAAATGTGCTTAGGATCAAGAGTTAGCAAAGGTAAGGAGAGAATAGTTTTCATGAAGCTTATAGGCGACCTTAAAATAGATATTTATATAAATAGTCATCAGCTTACCAGCCTGTAACAGGTTCTTGCTTGTTTGGCTCCTCTAGGATGCTTGTCACTAAGCCAAACATATCAGGGCCATTGCCAGAATAAGATAAATTTTCCTGTGTTCTGAAAAGAGAGATATTTGAGTATCACCTGTACCAAGAATCTAAGAAGAATGAGCCTTCTAAATGAAGTACCTTTAGTTTAGGGGTTTTTTTCAGAGCAATATTTTCATGTTACTGAACAGTTCCGTAAGCCACCTCAACCTTGGTGGAGGCAACATAAAATAAATAAGGTAAGCAGAATAAATACCGTAATTAATAAAAGCATTTGGGAAACTGAGAAGCAATATTTACTGAAATTAATAAGCACCTCAAATATGAAAAAGCTCAAGTATTACCCCGCTTGGCCTTATCAAGATCAGAGAGCCACTAATGCACGGGAAATTAGAAACACTGTGTGTAGCGGTGAGGTAATAGGATGAGATGTGAGAATGTAACTAAAACAGGACAAGTTAACTGTCTTCCATTGTATCTTCCCACCACTTTTAAAGCAGGAGAGAACAACATGACCAAATAAAGAATCTTGTTCTGTTTTTAATCTTATACATACTAATCCCAGCATAATCACACTCCCAAATGACATGAACGAAGAAAGGGTATGTGCAGAGATTCTAAGCCAAACAAGCCATAGAGTAATCTTGATTTTAGAAAATGCATAGAAATGGAAGGAAGCAAAAGAAAACCAGACCAAAATCAGCAAATTAGAGCTTGCAATCATTTTCATAAGCAAACAAGCCGAAGTCAGATATTGTGATGTAAATTCAGCACCAGTTTGATAGCAGATCAGTAAATAAAAAAGACAGAAAAGGAAGCAACAGTGAGCATTGTGCACAGTGTACTATGAAGTCTCACAACCTGGTAAAATTAAAATTAACTCTCTTCTTAACCTGGCTTCTCTCCAACTTATTACTTCATTAGGCAAAAAGCCAATATAACTCCTGCTAATTGCTTTAATATGGCATTTTAACAATGTCACCAAGCAATATTAAAACTGGGATACAAACATCAAGCAAGGAGACTTGATTCATCAGAACAGCACATGGAAATAGGTAACTTCACTGAATTACTTATATCAAAATATTGCTCACAGAAAACTTGTGAGACATGCAATAAGTCTAAATATAAGGGATTAGTTCTGAAAATGGAAAGGATATGTTTCCCAAGTCACTCTATTTACTGCATTAAGCTGTATCATCATGCACTGTCCGAATTACAACTGAAACAAAGTTGGCCATACATTACAGGAAAAAGATGTTTTATTCTGTAGCAATATCTTCACCGCAAACAATTAAGTAATGTTAGGGAAGAGTACTATATAAAACTTTGCTGACAGGTGTACCCAGTAGTGTAGGAAGGCAGGGGAAGTGTAAGGGTGTACCCAGGGTTCATCCATACTTCTTGTCCCACTCCTTTCCCTTGGAGAAAACCACTCTTTAGAAGCTCAATTGGAGCAAACAGCAATTTGAGATTTTCCTGGGAAAGGAGCAGGGCAAGGGGGAAACTGCTCAGATCAGTGCTTTCTAGGCACAGGACAAGCACAAGTGTGAACCAGGCCTCTATCAATCCATTTGTAGATTTCTAGAAAGAACCACGGACGCGGGTGGCGCTGTGGGTAAAAGCCTCAGCGCCTAGGGCTTGCCGATCGAAAGGTCGGCGGTTCGAATCCCCGCGGCGGGGTGCGCTCCCGCTGCTCGGTCCCAGCGCCTGCCAACCTAGCAGTTCGAAAGCACCCCCGGGTGCAAGTAGATAAATAGGGACCGCTTACCAGTGGGAAGGTAAACGGCGTTTCCGTGTGCTGCGCTGGCTCGCCAGATGCAGCTTTGTCATGCTGGCCACGTGACCCGGAAGTGTCTCCGGACAGCGCTGGCCCCCGGCCTCTTGAGTGAGATGGGCGCACAACCCCAGAGTCTGTCAAGACTGGCCCGTACGGGCAGGGGTACCTTTACCTTTTACCTTTAGAAAGAACCACAAGGTGGCAATCACTTCATACCTTTTTTTGGTGCAGCCATGTAATGGGGCAATAACATTGGCATCATCTCCACATGTTGACCAGCTACTGTAAAACTGGGGAGACTCCACAGTGGACGGTGTGTTAGTTATTCCTCCAAACAAAGGAGAGAAGAGCTGTGTGTCCATTTCTGGCTTAGTGCGGTTTACCTGAGTTGAAATTCAAGAGGGAGACATTTTAAGGGGAAAGAGCTTTTTACATGCCAAATGACCAGACAAGCTCACTTTGTTGCCTTCCCTTTTGATATTAGAAAATGAAACAAAAGAAAGTTATTCTTGTCATTACTGTTTTACAATAATGAAGCATGGGGAAAAGGTACAAGTACAGGCAGTTATGACATGCAATGCCTTGTTTAAGAAGTGTACTCACAGATCAACACACTCACACCACATTTTGGTAAAGCACGTATGTTCCTACAGAGCTATTAACTGCACATATGGGAGCCTTCTGAGCAACAGGAGAAAGAAAATAATAGAGCACAAATGAGACCTAGAGCAAGACTATATTCACCAGTGGGCACAGGGAGTGTGTCAGGTCAACACAGCCCTCCCTCCCAAAATTTAAGAATAGTACTGCATTCTCTACACAGCTACCATTGTTCAAGAGAGTGTGACTTACATGCTTAAAAACGGGGACATGTAATGCTGTCCCCACCCTGCCTTACCCTATTGTCAGAGAATACAGAGTACTCTGTGCGAACTACAACAAATAACCAGCTGGTAAACAGGACTGCATTTATGCTTCATGTAAAATGTTCAGCAGAGTTAAGATGTTGAATTGCATGGAATGAAGCAAAGTAACATTTACTTAATTTTTGCCTAGAAAGACTTCTTACTGTTCAGGGAGAGCCTGCAAAATGCATTTGGGCACCAGAAGAGAACCTCCAGTCTGCAGGCCTAATTAGGTTCCCCCAATGTGGTTTTTTTTAAAAAAAAAACAACCACTCTCACCTATTGATTACCTGACATCAGGCACTAGACTGGTGAATCTGTGGTACTAAACTGCAATAGAATTAGGAGCACACTTTAAGTTCACTCCCAAGTCTTCATTTTCTGCTGCCCCCACCTCCAAGACAGAAAAAGGTGGCAAACTCAAAAAACCAATGGATTCAAGCTGAAAGAAATAATCAGGAAAGCACTCGGTGCATTCCCGATTCGTCATTTTCAGTTGCTGCGAGTCAAGCCGAGTCATCAGACACCCATCCTATGACACCAAGTGAATAACAGGTGAGTGGTCCTGCTCACTTGTCAAGCTGGAATGCAGAGTGAGCCAGTTCCAGACCTGGCCCACCAGCTGGATCCAACCACACACCTCTGAATTAGAGTGAAAATAAAAATATACCCTAAGAATTAACAAATAGGGCCTGCAACTAAAAGTTGCAGCCTACCCCATTTTCCTAAAGAAGGATGTTCCTCTTCAGAATTCCAGATGTTCAAGAACAGTTTAGGTCTGAGGGTGCTGAAGGGGCAAGGCATTTCCTCTGCTACACTACATAATTTTAGGGGGCTCAGGTTTAGCTGCCAGCACTGTACTTGAGGAGTTCCCTTGCTTGGCTTCCATGTTAGGCATGAATGATTTGACTTCCTCAGTGGCCAGCACACCCAGTGAGTGGCACAGGACAGAGAGAATTATCAGTTCCTCTTTAGTCAGCCTACTGCATTTCACTGCTGGCTCCTTAGGGATCCGACATGGAAACAAAGCAGACTGGTGGAGGAAGAGGGACATGATGGCCTGTGCCTCTTCCACCAACCTGTTTACTTACCTGCATGAATTCCTTGTGGCCGACAATGACCAGGCAACTAATTAAGCACAAGGCTGATTTGCAAGCCTATATACCGTATTTTTCGCCCCATAGGACGCACCGGCCCATAGGACGCACCAAGTTTTTTGGGGGGAAATAAAGGGGGAAAATATATTTCCCCCCCAGGCGCTTGTGGGGCTGGCAGCCGGGAGAAGTGCTCTTCTCCCCGCCGCCAGCCTTCAGACCAGGTCCGGGGACAGCGGGAAGACGCGCTGCGCCTCCCCGCTGTCCCCAGAGCTTGCGGGGCTGGCGGCGGGGAGAAGCACGCGTCTCCCCGCCTTCAGCCTCCAAACCCCATGAGGAGACAGCGGGATGTCCCCCGACCTTGTGGGGCTGGCGCTGGGGCTCTCCAGGCTTCAGCGAAAGCCTGCATTCGCCCCATAGGACGCACACACATTTCCCCTTCATTTTTGGAGGGGGAAAAGTGCGTCCTATAGGGCAAAAAATACGGTACATCTATACTTAGCAAGTCATCAGAGCATGTCTATACTACCACACTCTTCCGGGATAGTCCTGCTTCATTTCTGAACTGCTACACACAACACACCCTGCATTTGCCAGGAGGGTGAATGATTCCTAATAAAATTCTATTTGCTGTGGACTCACCTGTGGCTCATAATGACTGAATGTGGTGCTTTGCTTAACCATATCTTCATTTTCAGTGTGCAGATTCTTGTTTCTAAAATGAGTAGCATTTCCAAACAGACAGAGGTTTGAAGTCTTAACCACAGGTCTCACCTGTTCAAAAATAATCCAGCATTACACTTAATAGTAGCTTGCAAAACATTTAATAAAGCTAAACATTATTAAAAGTGAAGTGGCATTCTCCCCAATATTTTGATGAAAAAATCTGCAAAAGTTGAACAAAAAAATGAGAAAACATTCAATATACCAGTACTATTGTCCTCTTTTCTAAGGCTCAGTTGCTTTCCAACCCAGTAAGAAACATTCCTTGACAGGTACAAATACTTGCTGCTAAATGTGCACCTTGAATTCCAAAACAATCTGTGAAATGCTGTACTAAAGTCTGCAGACTAGCAGATTAAAAACTAAATTATGTCTGATGCCTGGCTGTGTGGAGCTTGTCCCAGCCTTTGTACTTTTTACACACACACAATGTGGTTGCATAGGCTACAAATCAAAGTGCAGAGCCAACATGTCTTATACCCCTTCCCTTTGTGGTCTTTTGGGGACTAAAACCAAATCCCTCCATTTCCCTTTTGCCTTGAAAGAGAAACAATATGCTGTGGTGGACTACCTTCATTTTCCCAATACAGCAACACAAAGCAGCTGAAGTGGTGCTGAAAAGTTCTGCATCATAACTTTGTACCTTGCCAATGGTAAGCCATCTATTTCTTCTTCCTTTCTTCAAATTTATATCACTTATCTACTTCAATTAAACTCTCTTCTTTTATTATATTGTTAGCTTCGTATTTCTATATTTTCCTAGTGGCAATGCCTCTACTTGCATTGTTCACTGACACCTACCTACCCACCCACCCACCCACCCACCCACCCACCCACCTCTTAAACTTCACCAAGCCCTGTTCCCCTTACAGCTCACCCCCTGCCCCCTCCTATCACAGCTCACCAAACCCCCACTCCCTCTATTTACACTGAAGTAGCTTGCCTGACTTGCCACTTCTTTCCTCTTCACCCTCTGCTGCGCTGAAGGTTTCCTTTATTCTTTCTTTTTTTGAGGGAGTGGGCTATCATTGAGCTGCAGTTCGCAATGTCAGCTGTCTATGGCTAAGCGAACTGCAGTGTGACAATATCCTTATGCAAATCTCGGAATATATTGTTCTGCACCATCCCAATCTCCAAGTGATTCCAGGGGTTCCAGGCTCCTACCCAAGGTTTGGTTTACTTGGAATGAGGAACAGCAGACTGTGGTGTCTTTAGGCTGTATGGCTTACAACCTGAGTCTACGATGCAGGGGCTCACAGCATTAACATCCCAGAAGACCTTGCTTCTCCCATAGTCGCAGTCTTGGAATCAAGCAGACATCAAACACAGCTCTCATTCTCTGGCTTCTGCCAGTAGCCTGCTTCTAGCCCAGCTCTCACACACACAACTCTGGCTCTTGTCCTTCTACCCTCCAGGAGAGAGAGGGGGACCCTCTGACACAAAACTACATCCTTTGTTAATGTATTTTTAATCTTTTGTTGGAAGCCGCCCAGAGTGGCTGGAGAAACCCAGTCAGATGGGCGGGGTAGAAATGATAAATTATTATTATTACAGTGGTACCTCTGGATGTGAACGGGATCCGTTCCGGAGCCCCGTTCGCACCCAGAAGTGAACGCAACCCGTGTCTGCGCGTCTACGGGTTGTGATTCGCCACTTCTGCGCATGTGCGTGACATCATTTTGAACGTCTGCGCATGCGCAAGCAGTGAAACCCAGAAGTAATACTCTCAGTTACTTCCGGGTCGCCGCAGCGCACAACCCGAAAATACTTATCCCGAAGCTACTTCAACCCGAGGTATGACTGTACTTTGTTATTCTAAGACCCATACTTAGGTGGTAACTAGATGTTGCTATTATCTATATAGGAACACCATCTCTTTGACCAGGAAGCCTCTTGACATGGCCTAAAAGGGCCTGTATCTGCTGCTGAGTGAGAGACAAATTGGGGATGCACAGGCCAGGTTTTAAAACTTATATTACTTTCCTGTATTAGCAAACTGCAACCTTTCTCTTCACACTCCACTGAGGCAGACAGAAAATTTTCTGCTTCCAAATACGAGTTTTATGGATGGATATAAAGGTAAAGGTAAAGGTACCCCTGCCCGTACGGGCCAGTCTTGACAGACTCTGGGGTTGTGCGCCCATCTCACTCAAGAGGCCGGGGGCCAGCGCTGTCCGGAGACACTTCCGGGTCACGTGGCCAGCGTGACATCGCTGCTCTGGTGAGCCAGAGCCGCACACGGAAACGCCGTTTACCTTCCCGCTGGTAAGCGGTCCCTATTTATCTACTTGCACCCGAGGGTGCTTTCGAACTGCTAGGTTGGCAGGCGCTGGGACCGAGCAACGGGAGCGCACCCCGCCGCGGGGATTCGAACTGCCGACCTTTCGATCGGCAAGCCCTAGGCGCTGAGGCTTTTACCCACAGCGCCACCCGTGTCCCTTATGGATGGATATAATGGTAGTCAAATTGGGCAGTTTTGAAATCATACAGGAACCATGGGTACCTATATAAATATAAATGCAAAATTATTTGGGCATGTTAAAATTAGTAGGTTAACAGTTTTCAGTGTTTTAACTTTCTCTCTTGGAATTTCTTAGAACATATGTTGTTAAGTTATCATGGCCTTAAAATATCTACAAGCATTCCTTTAAAAATAATTTTAAATGAAGCTTTGAATTTATTTGAGTGTTTTGGGAAGATGAAGCAACATTCATGCTGCAATCCTATACACACATACCTGAGAGTAAGGTCCATTGAACTCAACAGTTCTTACTTCTGAGTAGACATGTCTAGGATTGTGCCATAAGTGCAGTTTATTTGAGCAGGGAGCAAAATCAAAATTTCCGTTCAAATACTTGCAGCTACTTGGGGGGAAAATAGAAATTATAAGGCATATAAAATTGACATAGTGTATGTTTTTAGTTTTATAAAAAAAATAGTCAAACATGCTAAATTAGAGCCAAATCTATTTAGGGCATTGCAAACTTTTCACATTAAAAGTTTTCCAGAAAATCCACATCACTTCCCCACTCAAAAGTGATTTCAAGTATCTGGTTAACATACCCCTTGACATTTAATCTCTCATGTCTTCAGCATTTTTAGTAAAGAAACTCAGAAACTCCCTGTTTAGAGAAATGAGAACACCACCACCTTCCTAACCGTACAGCAAATTCAGCTTCTTTAAATGCAACTTTGCAGAAGTTACTCTTTACATTTTACACCTTCCCTCCCCAAATTCAAAGGGATAGAAATTAAATTCCCCACCCCACTTAAATGTCCAAACAAACCTGCACAGGGTTTATATTACAGTAGTTGCTTCTTGCATATACACCTTATCATGAACACAAACCCGAGACAGAAAATCAGGCACAGGCTTTACATACATTTAGCTCTGGTGCAAAATTCAATCTAACATCTATACTGTGTTACATCGCACCTTGTCCAACTGCCCTTAGTGCTGCTATGTGACGCTTAGACATGACAACAACTCCGTTACTATTCAGATACAGAAACTGTTGCCAGGCTATTGTGTTTCTTCTCCACCCACTGGAGAAGCAGGATAAACAAAGTCAGGATGCAGAATGCAGGGTTGGGTCTCAACACGGACACAGATTCAGAAGAAAAACTAACAGCATTATCAAGTACTGTACTCATATGCTCTAAGAACCACATTTAATCTGCACACAACCAACCCACAGGAAGCCTGATGGTACTATAAAGCCACAATGCATTTTCCAAACATAAATTCCTATTTGGACAGATCTGAAGTGATTATGCCTCCCCACAAAGATTTCAGAATGCCAAAGGCTCTATCTGCCTTTGCAAAAACAAGAGAAACACCGAGCTTACGTTTTTGGCCTTCTTCCTTTACAGCCAGCCTCAGCTGTGCCTGATGTCACTGGAATACCAGTATGTGAAAGTATTATGGGAATTGTAGTTTTCAGACTATTGTGAAACAGCTATAAAGTACAAGGCTGTATTACTGCAGTAACTCCCCAAAAACCTGCAAGAGCTGTCCTATTGTATGAACAGAATGAATTGGGAAGGGGCATAAATTAACTATTCTGTTCTCTATGTCTGGCTAGAATGCAGTTTCTATGTGAAAAGAGCTCTCTTCTGCTTTCTATCCTTTTAACATTCATAAGAAACAATACAGTACAGTACTGAGCTAGTACCTAGATGAACCAATGGTATGATGGTGTAAGGCAGTTTCCTACATTCTTAGGAATCTGAAAGACTTGAAAGTGACTTGTGGAAGCTGGCACAAAAGTCAAAATTACTTTGGAACTGAAGTACCATGTCTGTCCTATTAGAAGTAGAATCAAATTGCTGTAGCCATGCTAGTCCCATAAAAAAACAAAATCAAAAGTAACAGTTGTATAATACCTTTACTGAGATAATAAAACAAGTAGGTTTTTAAATTTCTCTATAGCCCACAGGTCCCATGTAATGCAGAGGTCAAAGTGAACAACAAATGTGGTTGCTCATACACTGTATTACCGAAGGAGATTAATTTTAGGTGGTAGAATTAGATATAAAATCAACAGAAGATGAATTTGGGTAGTGTCATCTAGTGGCTAGAGGGTACTAAACCAGCTCTTTATTTCACTTCGTGTTTTCTGCCTTATGAGTTACCTGCGTGTCCCAGCTAGAACTAGAGACACAAACCAGTTAACTGTTGACTGTCACATTTTCAAAGAGAGAGCAACTATGCTTCTGTCCTATAATCTTATACACCAAGCGTTCTCCAGCCCAGCTAAATCTGCATTAGCAGTTCCCTCATTCCATCTTATTATTAAACTACATTCTGGGATTTTTTCCTCATCTGGCAGACAACAGCTTTTATTTCTTTTTAACGTCTCATTCATAACCCAAATGAAGAGTTTTAACGAACACAAAGCTCGCTGACTTTTGCTTTCTTCATACAGCCCCAATGAAGGCACGACCCTACTTTCCCTTTCTTTTCTTGGAGGAGAGAAGGCAGTAATACAAAGCCACCTTTTGGAATGACAGGTACGCCGTGTGAGAGGTTAGCAATCCACAAGTCACTGGAAGGCCGTGGCTCATTTAAACACAAATCCACCTGCTCAAAGACTGCAGTTTGAAACACAGGCCAATTTATTCACTGTGCCAGATTTATATTTTTATCAGCCTGGTGGCAAGATGCTTTGCTGTGCATCGCTAGTAAGATGAGGGCAGTCATAATAATAATAATAATAATAATATAATAATAATAAAATTTTATTTATACCCCGCCCTCCCCAGCCAAGACCAGGCTCAGGGCGGCTAACAACCAATAATAAAAACAAGTTGATTAAAATACAATTTAAAAGATTAAGATACAACATTAAAACATTAGGATGCAGCCTCTTCACAGGAGGAGAAAGGAAAAAGAAAAAGAGGGAGGGAATCAAACTGATTCTAAGCCAAAGGCCAGGTGTAACAACTCTGTCTTACAGTCCCTGGGGAAAGAAAGCAGATCCTGCAGGGCCCTGGTCTCATGAGGCAGAGCGTTCCACCAGGCTGGAGCCAGTGTTGAAAAGGCCCTGGCACTGGTTGAAGCTAATCTAACTTCCTTAGGGTATGGGACCACTAGGGTGTTGCTATTTATGGACCTTGAGGCTCTCCATGGGGCATACTGGGAAGAGGTAGTCCCGTAGGTACGAGGTCCTAGGCCGGAAGGGCTTTAAGTCAAACCAGCACGATCTGCCCTGTTCACCGGGGAGTCAACTGGTGAATTGGCAAGCCCTAGGCTCGTGGTTTACCCGGATAGTAGGCAACGTAGAAATAGACTGGAGGGCCACGAGATCACGTGGCCAGTTGGGGAGGAAAGTAAGGTAAGGGACCATTGATGAATAAAAATGGTTATAAATAAAGGGAGTGCAAGGATATGTGTTACCAGGGCTGGCCCAAGACATTCTGGCCCCTGAGTCGAGCCACCAAAACAGGCATGGGCAACCTTCGGCCCTCCAGATGTTTTGGACTACAATTTCCCATCATCCCTGACCACTGGTCCTGTCAGCTAGGGATCATGTGAGGTGTAGGCCAAAACATCTGGAGGCCGCAGTTCTCAACCTACGGGTCCCCAGATGTTGTTGGACTACAACTCCCATCATCCCTGACCACTGGTCATGCTGGCTAGGAATGATGGGAGTTGTAGTCCAACAACATCTGGGGGCCCACAGGTTGAGAAACACTGTCTGGAGGGCCGAAGTTTGCCTAGGCCCGCACCGAAACGACACCCCCATCCACCCGCCAGGGAAGGAGGCGGGAGTGAAGAGCGAGACCAGGACCCGCTGCCCCTGTGGATTCTGCCGCCTGAGGCGCTCGCCTCCCCTTCGCCTCACGGGTGGGCCGGCCCTGACTTCCACTCTCCCGCCCCACGTCCCCCCCCCAGACCCTGCCACGGGCGCAAATAGGGTCGGCCCCTCTTCCCCTTCCCCGCCGCGCCTCCCGCAGGGCCTCACCTCTGGCCGCCGGTTCCCTCCTGAGAGGGGAACAGCCAGAGCACGGGCGCCGTCCGCCACCATCTCCTCCTCCTCCTTTTCCTTCCCGCCTCAGCAACAAGGGCGGGCGCTGGTTGGTTGGACGGGGGGAGTGGGCGGGGCCTGCCGCCAAATTCTTCTCTTTCCCTGCCGCCGCCGGCTCCCGCAAATAGATGGCGAGGGGGCGGGGCCGCGTGCGTGCGTGCGTCTCTAGCAACTCCGCCCACTTTGACGCCCAGCCGGGAACAGGCCCGGCGGCTGCTGTGCGCGCGCTCCGCCCCGCGAAATGCGAACGTTCGAAGCGCCTTTTTCGAACGGCTGGCGCGCGCGCGCCGCTGCCCCCGCTCGCGCCTCGCGACTGAAAAGTCGTTAACGGCCGTTAGGCTAAAACTGCCAAACTGGATAAGGTTGGAAGAAACCATTTTGGTCGCGGGGGAGGAGGAGGAGAAGGGAAACGGGAATGTAGAGGGGGAAGAGAGGATCATTTTATAAGTTTATACGCATTAATAAAAGTCCTTCCTTACCGTTTTTTTTTCGTTCCCACAAGCTTTTTGGGAACTGCTTTTAATGAGGGGGCTGGTGCCCTACTGTCTTTTTATTGTAGCTATCCAAATGGTTTTAATAGATTTTATATATGTAGATAGCCTTATTTCTATCAATGTTCAATTGTTTTGAATTATGCGTTTTTTAATTTAAAAAAAAGTTTTAGCGCTTCTTATTTTTATATGTATGCCCTCTTGAGTCCTGTCTGGGGAGGAAGGAGCGAGGTATAAATAAATAATAATAATTCTCTTATTCCACCGGCCCTTTCTATTTCAAATTGAAACCAAATCAAAATGAAAAGCAAATAAATAGAAAAAATAGGGAAACTACCTGGGTTGTTGTTATTTTGTGGGATGTTAAGATGGAGAAAGAGATGGCGAGGAAGGAAAGTCTTTCAAAGGTAGCAAATGAGTGGAAACTGAAGTATCAGGAGGCTTGTTTGCATGTGATACTTTTAAGTCAAAACACTCATTGAAGGTTTTTTTGGGGGGGGCAGAGCAATGAATGAAAAATTAAAAAATTGAAATTGTAAGACATTTGTGCACAAATAATAATAATAATAATAATTTTTATTTATACCCCGCCCTCCCCAGCCAAGGCCGGGCTCAAAGCAGCTTACAAGCAATAATAAAAACAAGTTAAATGATTACAACTTAAAAACAAAATTAAAAATACAACATTAAAATATTGAAACATTAAAATATTAAAATGCAGCCTCATCGCAGGAGAAATTATATATCAATTATATAATCATTGGTGTTCACAGAGCTTGCAGAATCTCTCATGAACCATAATCCCCAGATTCCTTTTCTTTTTTTAAAAAAAAAGTTAAACTTTCTAGCATTTGTAATAACTCAAGTTGTTTAGTGTGGCAGCGCTGACACTTTGGAACTCCCTGCCTATTGAGATCAAGCAGGTTGCCTTCACTGCGCTTTTTTCAGCACCTGCTAAAAACATTCTTGTATAGAGGAGGCCCATTGACAAATCGCAGCATCGGGTGGAAAGACCGGGCAAAGTTGTTGCAGTGTGCACAGCTGTAATCTTCCTCCAAGAAAGCGGGCAGGGTGGCCAAAAGCAGCAGGAGGAGGAAGAGCAACTGAAGAGGGAACGCCATTCGCAGTACATGGGACAGGAAGCCGCAGGTCTTGGGAGCAGCTGGGCTGGCACCACCCTGTCTCCTCCTCTAATATCAATGCCACTCTTTGCTCCAAGGTGTTCCTTCCACCAGCCTTGTTTTTAGATGTGCAAGGTTTCTCCAGTCGCTGAGGACAGCCTCCCGAGTCCGGTTTGTCCACATCCTGCAGAAATGCACTTGTGTCTGGCTTTCCAGACACTGAGATCCAGCGCCAAGGGCCTTCTGGTGGTTCCCTCGTTGCGAGAAGTGAGGTTACAGGGAACCAGACAGAGGGCCTTCTCGGTAGTGGCGCCCGCCCTGTGAAACACCCTCCCATCAGATGTGAAGGAAATAAGCAGCTATGTTCTCTTTAAAAGACATCTGAAGGCAGCCCCGTTTAGGGAAGTGTTTAATATTTAATACTGTATTGTTTTTAACACTCAATTGGGAGCCGTCTAGTGTGGCTGGGGAAACTCAGCCAGATGGGCGGGGTATAAATAATAAATTATTATTATTATTATTCCATGTGAGACCTTTAAATCACTTGAGACTCTTTCCAGAAGCTGCTTCAGTTTCTCCCCAATAACGTGGACCTTCTCGTGAGCTTCAACATAATCTCCTCCACCTGATTTGACCTGCGAGTGAATGGAAATCTCATGCAGAGTGTTGACTTGCGGCTGCCGTTCCAGAAGCTCTTTCCCCTAGTTGCATTAATTGTCTTCGGCCAAGGTGGAGAGGACCATTTGTCATTCTGCTCTCCACACCAGTCAAATAGAAAGGCTTGCTCCATCGACCCACCACACGCGTGTCAGGTTACAGGGGAGTCTGTAACCTGAAGTGCCGAGGAGTTTGTAACCCGAGGTACCACTTTACAGCTAATATGTGAATCACAAAGATCCAGCTCAAAGCAGGAACATAAATTGCTACATGGTGAAAATGGCTACATGTAACACAGGTTCCCAACATGAATACTAACACAATGTAACAAAACACGGTGAGAAGCCAGACCGATCCTGCAAAATTGCCAGTGCTTATTGCGCATGTGTATTAAACTTAGAATGAGGTAATGATGTACAGGATTGGTGGAAATTGGACTCCTTTGTTTGAAACTTTATAAAAACCATTGCCTGAACCATTGGGCATGGTTGCAGTTCTGCGGAATGATTCGACTGTAACCTATTGCTTTGCAATAAATGTTGGACTCAACTCCTCAGGCTTCTGGGTTGGCATAAACTCAGGAGATAAGTCATTTTTGGCTTACAACAGTGGCATAAACTTTCATGGCCTCTTGCTCACAAAAAGCTCATACCACAATAAACATGTTTCTTAAAGGTGCAAGAAGGTTTTTTTTGCTACACCATATGAGCTGCCCTTATAGTTTTCCTGAGGGGGCAGATTTTCTGACTTCCAGGACTGTTGCAAGTGAAGCAAACTGCCGCTTCTACACCTACTATTTGATGAAGCTGTTTCAAGTACAATATGGAACGAGAGCTGTTATTTTAACTGCTCTGAGTAGATTGGCAGAGATACAGTAAATAAACACAAAGCTGGCAGTGTAGTGATTGAAAGCCACCGGTCTACATAGCTCAAGTGGAGGCTAAACATAAAAGCTGAATTACAAAATACCAGACAGCATTAATTGACATGTACAGCATTTAATCAAAGAATTGTAGAGTTAGAAATGATATTTAGTCTGACCCCCTACTACAGGAATTTTGGGACTCTTGACAGTCAAGTATGTGACTCAACTATTTTCACTGCCAATTACATTTTATAGCAATAGTTCACAGCAGAATGGAAGTGCTTTTTGCACAGATGTTCCTGTCAGTTTGTTAAGACTGGGCCCTTTTAAAGAGCAACTTTATTCCTACAGACATACATTGCATAATTCTGCTTAAAACCCCAAGTCGTATTTCCAAAAGCGCTGGCTCAGATGCCCGCTCCTTGAACAGTGTAACCCAGTTCCCATGCTCTGATCAGCCTCATCCATCAGATTGTGGCGAAGGGGAAATTCTATGCCAGCAATGCTCCAATTCAAGCTGCCATTATTTTCTCAAGTTAACAAAAATGATAGCATCATGTGGATTGAACATGCAATGACCATTGTTAAGATGCCATACTGAAAGGAGATAGGATGGCTAAATAGTCACGGATGTAGCTAAGAAAGGTTCATTGGCAGAGACCAAGGCAGGGGCTTGGCAGGCAAGTCGCACCAGCCCTATCTATTGCAGAACAAGCACCATCTATTGAATGAGAATTATGAATAGATTCCTGAGGCTTAAAATTAGAATCTAGGTATTTGGATATTTATGCCATATTGAACCCATCTACTCACATACCATCATGCTTGTTTCAAGCAGGAGCCAAAAGCTACCAGATAAGCGTGGGTGAGGGCAAGGGTTTTTAGGTAGCTGCAGCAACGGTCAAATGCGAGCTGCTACAGTCACCTGGAGGCTTCTTGGCACTTGACGTCACATTCATTGGCTCTTGTGAGAACTTATGAGAACACACACTTTCCCACCGCCCCAGAAGTTTCCATGGTTGCATGCGCCTTTATGGAACAACACACCACCACATAACTTGTGCATGAAGGGTATTGCACAAGCATTAAAAGTTGTGGAAGTGTCTCTATGCGATTTTATATCTTAAATTGATTTTTTTTCTAAAGTGGTTTAAATCCTTTCCCCCTCCTAACTAACCACAAAGGCAAATTATGCAATAGGACTCTGATTCAACATCTTTGAACTTCTTATTTTGAAAAGCAAATCCACAATTTTGGCATGGTTTTATGAGCTGCAACTAGAGTTCTGGAAATTTAAACCTCAAGCAACCTTTGTTTCCTCTGATTAACAGCAGCAATGGGCTGCAGAGAATAAACCAGCAGTCAATAAATTCTAATTTAAAAGTATTTGCAACCCTAGTGATAAACAGAAATTCTAATTTAAAAGTATTTGCAACCCTAGTGATAAACAGAAACATGTTTGTAGAAGAAAATTACACAGTGCTTCACTGTTGGGATTTTCATGGTGGCAACAGTTATTCTCTTTAATATTATTCTGTATGTCATAGATTAATATAATTCCTTATGTCATACATTGTTACATTTCTTATATTGATAAATTATAATAAATACTTTTATCATACCCCAAAAGCTGTGCAGTTCTGTAGAAACACTGGTTTGTATCCAACATTAGTTATGCTTATAGCATACCCACTGAGATTAATGGACCCAAGTGAATCATGTCCATTCACTTCAATAGGTCTACTCCAAGTTTGATGATTGGAAACAATCCAGTGTTGCCCAAAATAGTAGTGGCACCATGCAGAAATCTCTCCGTAGCTACAGCACACTTCTCATCACTCTAATTAAATAATAAATCACTATTAATCATACTGCACACGTTTTTTTTCTCCACCAGCAACTTCCCCATCTCAGACCTCTTCCAACTGCAGCAAGAGCAATTGCTGCAAGAGAGAGAAACTCAAAGAGCTTTTCAATCATTTCTTTTTGTTTTGACTAGGAAGTTGTGACTGTTCTGAGGGTGAATCACCACCAAGGGCAGGAATTCTCAGCTTGCTTAGAGCTGGAGCAAGGCACGGCTTTGAAATACGCTCTCCACGTGCAAATCTGTACGCTGGCTGTTGCAACGGGAAGCAAGTAGAAGTAGACAGAAGCTTCCATAAATGTGGTACTACTTTAGAGGCTAACATGTGAATCGAGGTTTTAGCAACGTTCCCTGTTTATCCGGTTTGCTTTGTAACATGAAAAACCTTTACAGAAACTTTTTTCTTTTTGGTAAAAGTGGCCTGGAGTTTTAAGAACTCAGTTCCACTTTCACGTGTTGTACTGAACCTTTCTGGAAGGAAGGCATGGATAAAAGTGAAGGCTGTTTGGCTAATTTCGAAAAAAAAAAATATAGTCCTAATAGGAAACCTAATAGAGCCAATGCAAACATACTTTAGTCTTCCCTGCTGACCAATGTAAAAAATGAGTGTAACTAGCCAGGAACTCCTCCTTGACAAGCCACACTGAAATGAATTATGTTGTGTAAGATGAATTGATCCATCATGAAAAGGAAACACCGTAATTCTGGATGAACTGTATGTAAGCTCTTTGCGCATCTTCAAGACACAAAGCAGAGGATCCACAGCGCAAAGCTCCTCTACTTATTGGCAGGCTTGGGCCACCATTTTGGGATGGAGGCAGTGACTCTCACGTGCGAATCTCCTGATATTTTTAGATGCAGCGGTTCGTTTATGTTAGCCAACCGTAGTAATGCCATTCCAAGTTCATCTACTCCGGCACGGTACTTTCCAGCCGGCTTTCCTGATTCCAATACAATTTCAGCTCCCTCAGGGATGCTCTCGGAAGACATGGGAGTTGAAAGCTGTATGGGCAAGAGGCGTTTACGGATGACACCCATATGATGGGTCCTAGCTGTTAACTCCTGGCCAATGTAACAGCCTTTGGTAAAACTGATGCCATTCATGTAAGTCAAGTTGGATTCCAAAGGGAGGGCTATTCCAGAAGGGAGGTCTTTAATTCCTTCTGGCACACCTGGAAAAGGGAGAAAATAAAGAGGTAAGTGCTGAACAACACTCATACCTTGAGTAGGAGTTTGACTGGCACTTGGTACTGCTACTGGTGAGTAGCTAAGTGGCTTATGGGGTAAAACATTATGATCCAATTCCTAAAGATGGTAAGTCAGTGGGAAGAGCACCTTCATTCTGGCACCTGCACTGATTCTCAACTGGTTCTACACACAACAGATTTATAACAATGTTTGTCCTTAGGTCACTATCACTTCCTCTGCCAGTCACTGCAAGTATGATCATATTGTGGGCTGGATACTGTTTACCAATGAGTACTGAACGGCAGTATTTTCAATTACAACCTGTTGTCGTCTCTTGATGGGCCATCTGCTTTGAGTGCTTCAGCCTTTCCAAATGTGGAATGTTTATTGGAAGCTTGTAAAGTAGAAAATCAGCAACTTAGGGAAGACTGGGACAGGGAATTAGAATGAACTACACAATAGTGAGAGAAAACGAATACAGGTTTTTATTAAAAGAAGAACATATACCTTCCTAACTTCAGAACTGCCTGTTCATGAGAATGTTACTGAACTCCCTTCAGGCCTTTCCAACAATTTCTCTGTTTGCCAGAAAAGCAGATCTTTTCTGGGACATAGAAGATCCTCCTTTGTGGCGAAGATACTTCTGTTCTGTGTGAACCAGTACAGAGGGTCACCACGCCCTCCAGAATAACAGCTGCAGAAATAACTAAATTGTTGTCTTTTGTTCACATTAATGCCATGATAGTGATTATTTCCAAAATAAGGTGTTTGTTTGGAAAGTACCTGCTGTCATGAATGAAGAATGCTTAGAATCCAGAGACTCACAATTCTTATTAAAAATTATGTTTTGGAGAACTGGCAAGTATGGAAATTGTGCACAAATGCCAGCAGATCACCACCAAGGAGGTTCACACAATTTACATTAAATTCTGTATTGGCCAGGAGAAGAACAAATCAGATCCAAATTTAGCAAGCTGTCGCCACTACCCCACACTCAAGCGTCAGTCTCAATGTCAGCTTAATCGTTTACAAACATTCCATTCACAAAGTGGATAGCTGATAAATGTCACTTTAAATAATGTTCAGGAAAGCTGAGTCGTTAGGTTTTGTTTCATCCTATAGGCATGTTGCCATTCCCACCAACAAACTATTTTTACAACTTAGTGGGGGGAAACCACAGCCCGGTGGTCATATTATGTCGCAATTTATAAAACAAAACTTAAAATCAGATCTGGTATGGTTCTCACTATGCCCATTACAGGGTTGGCAATGTGGGGAAAGCCTTTCATAATATATATCAGCCTTCCCCAACATGGTGCCTTCCTAATGTTTTCGACTACAGCTCCCATCATGTAACTTATTGTTTGCAGGTTGCTTTGAGTACGTTTCCGAGCACAATTCAAAGTGTTGGTGCTGACCTTTAAAGCCCTAAATGGCCTCCGTCCAGTATACCTGAAGGAGCGTCTCCACCCCCATCATTCTGCCTGGACGCTGAGGTCCAGCGCCGAGGGGCTTCTGGCGGTTCCCTCATTGCGAGAAGCAAAGCTACAGGGAACCAGGCAGGGGGCCTTTTCGGTAGTGGCGCCCGCCCTGTGGAACGCCCTTCCAGCAGATGTCAAAGCGATAAACAACTACCTGACATTCAGAAGACATCTTAAGGCAGCCCTGTTCAGGGAAGTTTTTAACGTGTGATATTTTACTGTATTTTTGGTTTCTATGGAAGCCGCCCAGAGTGGCTGGGGAGGCACAGCCAGATGGGCGGGGTATAAATAATAAATTATTATTATTATTATTATTATTATTATTATTATTATTATTATTTGAGATTCACTTGAATGGGGAGTGGCATCAGTATCCGAACTGATGTTTTGAAGGTGTTATTATTGCTTTATTATATGCTTGCTGCCCTGGACTCCTTCGGGAGAAGGGGCAAGATATAAACTTAATGAAGACAATAATAAATACCATAATCATTCAAATGATGCGCTAAGTGTTAATCCCGCAAACGTTCACGTGTTTAGTTATCATTGTGCAATGCCTGCATAAAGCAAAACTTCTGCTTCCAGAACAGCTGTTCAAAGATGGGGGCAGTTTTACCTTGTTTATACCTGTGCCTATGATAATCCTTAACGTTCCCAATCTGGGATCCAGGAACAACCTCCAGTGGTTCTGTGCCTTTGCTGGTTATCAGCCTCCAACCCATAACACCCACTCTGGGGTCAGGCGTTGCAACCACTGCTTTGCCGGCACACTGTTGGAATTTACAGGCCCCCTCCTGAGACAGTTCCTTTGGAATGACAGCCCACAAGGAGAGGTCAAGGCAGGGGGTGATGTTTACTTTCCTCCGGATTTTATACAGTTTCAAATGCTTTTGAAGGGACTCCAAGATGCCGGCATCACACTCCAACAGGATGTGAGGCTCTTCTTGCTGGCTTTCGTGAATTCTGAAAAAGATCCAAGATCGGGAGAAAACAAGATTCGTTAATAGGAAGCCTTGATCCCAGTTCTGTCCCTTTCCTTTGCTGCAAAGAACCTCAACCTTTTTAAAGCTCCTCTTCCTTATATTGTTCTGGATTGTTTCCTGAGGCAGAAAACAAAGCAAATTAAGCCTGCACCCTATAGATGCTTACTAAGTACCTCTGAGTATATTTGGGTGGAATTCACCAACTTGGATGGTTTTAAAAGAAGATTAGACAAACTCATGGAGGAGAGAGCTCTTAATAGCTACTAGCCATGAGTCTCTTTGGTTCTTGAGAGGTCTCTGCCAAAATTCATGTTCTACACAGGCTGGTCACAACAGGCAAAATCCTGACACCCATGTAAAGAGTCCTTTTTTGTTTTGCAATCCCTTATTTTGCACCACTCTAATTGGAGGAGGGGGATGCAGGTGGCGCTGTGGGTAAAAGCCTCAGCGCCTAGGGCTTGCCGATCGAAAGGTCGGCGGTTCGAATCCCCGCGGCGGGGTGCGCTCCCCTTGTTCGGTCCCAGCGCTGTCACCTAGCAGTTTGAAGCACCCCGGGTACAAGTAGATAAAAGGGACCGCTACTAGCGGAAGGTAACGTGTTTCGTGTGCGGCTCTGGCTCGCCAAGCAGCAATGGCAGCTGGCACGTGACCGGAAGGTCCGACAGCGCTGGACCCGGCTCTAGTAGCATGGCGCAACTAAGCTGTCAAGACTGGCTCGACGCAGGGTACCTTACTTTTAATGGAGAGGTGCGTATGACTGAGGATACAATGCCTGAGGGGGTCCCCCAAAATCCTGGAGCCAGCTCTGCCTTTAAGAAACTGGCACAGGACTGCAGCCTCCAGCTGCATGTCATGCATACTGACTTTGGGAACAAGACCCAGAGCACTCAGTGGAACTTCCCAAAGAAAGCGCATGTATACACTGACTGTTAAAAGTGCCTTCCTTTGCTTTTGGCCACCCTGAGTATATGCTGCAATAACCCTATACTTAAATAGTTATTTGTTCTATGGTTACTTCATGTACAGTGGTACCTCAGGTTACATACGCTTCAGGTTACATACGCTTCAAGTTACATACTCTGATAACCCAGAAATAGTGCTTCAGCTTAAGAACTTTGCTTCAGGTTGAGAACAGAAATCGTGCTCCGGCGGCGCGGCAGCAGCGGGAGACCCCATTAGCTAAAGTGGTGCTTCAGGTTAAGAACAGTTTCAGGTTAAGTACGGACCTCCGGAACGAATTAAGTACTTAACCCGAGGTACCACTGTACTGCATTCATCATGAGTAGTCACAACAAACCGGTAGATCCTATCTGCTGCAGCCTTCCTCCGCCTTCACAGCAGTTGTAACAAACCACTTGTTATCATCTGCCTGTTCTGCCGTTGAGGACTTCTTGGATCATTCTCAAGGCAAATCTAAAAAAATGTAGTATAAACACCGACAATTGGGAAACACTTGCCTGCAAGCGCTCCAGTTGGAGAACAGCCTTTACCAAAGGTGTCCTGGGCTTTGAAGACACTTGAACTCAGGACGCAAGGGAGAAATGTGCTAAAAGGAAGGCACACTTGGCAAATCCACACCGGGATCAACTCCTGCCGGGGAACCAATGTCCAGTGGCGTAGCGTGGGGGGTGCAGGGGGGGCCGGCCGCACCGGGCGCAACATCTGGGGTTAGGGCAAATCCACAGGTTAGGGGGCGCAAATCCACGGGTTAGGGGGCGCAAATTATTTGCCTTGCCCCGGGTGCTGACAACCCACGCTACGCCACTGCCAATGTCACCTCTGTGGAAGGATGTGTGGATCCAGAATTCACCTCCACAGTCACTTATGGACTCATTGTTAAAACCGTGTTTATGGAAGACAATCTTACTCGGCTATGAGTGATCGCCAAAGAAGAAGCAGCATTCATCAGCCTTTGCAAGAACTGTTCCTGACTAAAAAATGACAAATATCTGCACTGCTGAAGGCATTTTTTTCATCCTGTATAAAATAACACTATACTGTTGTTGTTATTTTATGCATCTTTTATATATACAGCAAACCGAACTTGTGATCTTCAGATTAAGGGCCATATATAAATTTAAAACTATTATAAAAAAAAAAATGTAAAAACAATACTGATCTTTATAATAATTAAAATAATAACATGCAGCAGCAATTATTATGCCTATGGGGGACTAGAAAATCGCGTCCCCTATTTTGCATTCACTAATGCGCCCAGTCAGCTTCAAAGCAGGGAACCCGCCGACTGACCTGTACAGAATGACGTCATAGAGGCACCTCCCCTGGACGTTGAGGGCATGCGCGTAGATGGCGCGAGGCGCGTCCGCAGCCCCGCCCTCCGCCGCCGCCAAACGCGTCACGTCATTGGTCAGCAAGCCCTGGAGGAAGGTCACCGCCTCCGGGCCTTGGAAACGGAGCAGGGCGCGGCTCAGCGGAAAGCAGCCGGCGGTCGCTTCCTCGCCTCGCCCGCCGCTCAGCCTCCTTCCTTCGCTGCCGAAGCGCAGCCTGCGAGGGAGGCCCCTCCGCAGCGCTGCGCTCGCCCTCACCAGCATGGCGGCCTGAGGAAAAGTGCCGAGGGTAGGGGCGCCGGCCTCCCTACCGCCATATTGTGTGTGGCGGAGAGTTTGAGGGCGGGAAGCGAGGCCGAGTGCGCAGGCGCACAGGGTTCCTTTGCTGCCTCGGGCGCACCCTCCTGGCCGTTCCTTGTTACTGCAGCGTGGAGCGTAGCACCGAGAGGGGCGGGGCTGTCGCTTCAAACCCCGCCTCCCATTGGCCCAGGCGCTGCTGCTGCTGCTACATTGTGCTGCACGTGCTCCATTTGTAGGCAAACTAGAGCCCCGGGGGCCAGATCCTTCTAAATCCGGCCCGCGGACGGTGCGGGAATCAGCGTGTTTTACATGAGTGGAATGTGCCTTTTTATCTAAAATGCATCTCTGGGTTATTTGTGGGGCCTGCCTGGTGTTTTGACATGAGTAGAATGTGTGCTTTTATTTAAAATGCACCTCTGGGTTATTTGTGGGGCATAGGAATTTGTTCATTCCCTCCCCCCCAAAAGAAAATATAGTCCGGTCCCCCACAAGGTCTGAGGGACAGTGGACTGAAAAAGTTTGCTGACCCCTCTCTGCAGCTCCAGGGAAGCAAACCTTCCCCGCTGAATGAGCTGGCGTTACTCCCAAGTAAGCGTGCATAGGACTGCAAGCGGATTGGACTGAAACCATTTGGGGAATGTGTTCCTGTACCTGTATGCTGACTGATTCAGTGCACTAATTCCAAACCCTATTCAATCTGCTGGTCTGTCTCCACAGGGAATCAATGAAGCGCTGTACTCAGACACTTTCTTCTCTATTCCCACAGTTAAAGGTAAAGGTACCCCTGCCCAACAGGGCCAGTCGTGACCGACTCTAGGGTTGCGCGCTCATCTCGCTCAAGAGGCCGGGAGCCGGCGCTGTCCGGAGACACTTCCGGGTCACGTGGCGAGCGTGACGAAGCTGCATCTGGCGAGCCAGCACCAGCGCCGCACACGGAAACGCCGTTTACCTTCCCGCTATAAAGCGGTCCCTATTTATCTACTTGCACTTAGGGGTGCTTTCGAACTGCTAGGTTGGCAGGAGCTGGGAACAGTGATGGGTCTAAATTACGCAGCATATTGATATCTGAGTCATTATTACAGTGGTACCTCGCAAGACGGAAAACTCGCAAGACGAAAGGGTTTTTTGTTTTTTGAGCTGCTTCGCAAGACGATTTTCCCTATGGGCTTGCTTCGCAAGACGGAAACGTCTTGCAAGTTTGTTTCCTTTTTCTTAACACCGTTAATACAGTTGCGACTTGACTTCGAGGAGCAACTCATAGCACGCGGTGTGGTAGCCTTTTTTGAGGTTTTTGAAGACTTTGGTGATTTTTGAAGCTTTTCCAAAACTTTTCCGACACCGTGCTTTGCAAGACGGAAAAAATCGCAAGATGACAAAACTCGCGGAACGAATTAATTTCGTCTTGCGAGGCACCACTGTACTTGGACAGTCCTACTGAAAGCTGCCCTGAGCCATGCTTGATTCTCTTATAATATGCTTCCTAAGTCTAATTATTTCAGAATATTTGTTTCTTGTTGCTTGGATAATGTGCAGCGTACAAGTATCTAGCATGCAGTATGAAATCTCTGGCATAGAATTTTAGAGTTGGAAGGGGCCCAAGGGTCATCTAGTCCAACCCCCTGTGATGCAGGAATCCCAGCTAAATGTAAAATGAGATGATATCTGCTGGTTTCAGTGGGGCATATTGACACACAAGTACATAGCTGTGTAGTATAGTCATATTTGGCAGATGTTTTAATGGGACTTCCTCTCATTTTGTTCTAATGGGGCTTACGCCTTAGCCTTTTCACGTCTCACTGCAAGAACAATGAATGAGAGTCAAACTAAAATGTGCTACCCCAGAGGAGCGCTGGTGCAGAAATGCACGAGGTGTCCTGTGTAACTCCAAAGCTTGCATCCAACATCCTTCAGCACTATTTGGACCAAATAAAAGGTATTTCCTCATGTGTTCTATTGATGAGGACACTTCCCTAGAGCAGTGGGACAAATTTAGAACTGCCCTTGCTACATCTGCTGCAACTTTTGCCCCCAGGACGGAACTTGAGAAGGAATCATTCTTCAGCTTTGCAACAAGAATTAGTGAGCTCAGCACTGATTGACTAGCGCCCGTGTCGTCTCTAAGAAGCCTCTAAAATTTTCTGAGCAGTTTTGTGATGTTCAGATATTCCCTTCTGTTTTTAATAAGTTAATGAACATGCAGAGCTTTTGAGAAGGGATGGGGAGAGGGCAGCCTTTCTGAAGGGTAACAGCAACAGGGAAGATTGACAGGTGAGCCAGTGTTCCATATGCTGGTATTTTAGCTGTTGTGATTGACATCAGGAGGAAGCTTGGCTGATGGGTGGCAGCAATCTTTACATCAAGTATGTCTTTACCCTGTGTTTTATTGTGAGGAGTTATAATCTAGGAAACATGGAAACTAGTCCCCATGACTACATTAAAAAAAAAAAACTTTTGAAGGACACACATTAACCCTTCTACATAATTGCATTGCACTTCTCATACAACAAACCAGATCAAAAGTTTGATTCCATTTTATTAGTATTGAACAAGGAACATCCAACAGTTTTGTGATGCTGCTTTTTAAAATGTCCTATCATTCTAAATACAATCCAATGGTAACAATTTACATGAAAAATATTTACAGAGAAAAGAGTCAGTTTTGCACTCAAAACGTTTCTCATACAACTTGCAAGTTAGTACAAAAAAATAGTAATATAACAGCATAGATTTGTTATGGCCTTTTAGTTAATTTCAAGTATTTTCCAGTGGAATGGAATGTGAGTGACAGCATAATCTGGCTTCTGTTCTGGTTTTTAAACTTGAAACCTTTTAAAAACCATATTAACTGTTAGCGCTTCCCACATGACCGCCTGGGAACTGCAGGGAAAGTGTTGCAATTTCTTTGCGGCAGATATCAGTCCCCTTCATTATACAATTCCCAGAGTGCCTTGTGAGGAAGTGTTGACGTTTATAGTTAAAATGATGGGTTCTTAAAAACTTTCTCTACTGCAGATCATTATTGTACGTTGCTTATTCTTTGCAGGGAATCACATTTTTTAAAATGCAATGGATACCACAAGATAGGGTCCCTTAAAAGGCTTCTGAATGAAAACTCATTATAACTTCTGCATTCCAATGCAGCTGTAAAGTGAAGTAGCATGTACACAAATCTGGCAACACCTGCCACTTTCTATGAACACTTGCTATTTTCCTTCTTCCACCTGGGTCATTGCAGTAACACTGGAGTGTAGAAGGAGTTGACTAAATTTACATCTATTTATCTAGCAGTTCGAAAGCACGTCAAAGTGTAAGTAGATAAATAGGTACCGCTCTGGCGGGAAGGTAAACGACGTTTCTGTGCGCTGCTCTGGTTCGCCAGAAGCGGCTTAGTCCTGCTGGCCACATGACCCGGAAGCTGTACGCCGGCTCCCTCGGCCAATAAAGCGAGATGAGCGCCGCAACCCCAGAGTCGGACACGACTGGACCTAATGGTCAGGGGTCCCTTTACCTTTATCTTTATCTTCACTGGGGCAAGAGTCGGAAAGGATACTTCACCACCCTTATGTAAACCTACAGGGAGTTCATGGCCACTAGCCAGAATTTTCCTGTAATTTCTGATTTGCTCTCCTCCTCACTTTGGGAACAGGCGATTAGCCAGCGGCCACAGACCTGGAGGAAACGGATGGGAAAGTTTTGAAGAAACTCAAGAAGCCTCTCTGTTTGCTAGGACGAAGTCTGAAAAGGGATGTGGGATATTCACACAGCCATTTTGACACTGAAGTCATCGCTGCAAAGTGTCTCCCCCCCCCCCCCCGTTCCACTGTTTTTGCTTCATTCTTTCAAAAGCAGAAGCTTGGTGGACTGTTGTCTATAGCGGTATTGTGCTGCTCCTGACCACAATGCTATTCACCAGGACAAACGGTTGCGGCTTCAGGGACTAATCTACACTGGGGAGTTATAACTTTAAAAATGTGTTATAAAAATGTGACACCAGAGGGCGCTGTAGAGCAGTGATCTGTCGCCAAAGAGAAATTGCATTGGGAGCTATATATTTTTACGGCGTCTTCCAGATCAGTGTAGATTGAGCCTTGATTGCAGTATCAAAATGGTCACGTGAATTGAAACTTTGAAAGGGTATTTTATAATGACACCCAGTATTTGTGCCTAGTGTGATTTACATCTCCGATAGGAACAGGGACCTTGAGAGGTTGTTGGACTTGAACTCCCAACAGTTCCAAACAGCACAGCCGATGGACAGGGGATGATGGGAGTTGTAGTCCCATTACAAATGGAGGGCCACAGGCCCCCTGCCCTCTGATCTAGGACAACCTAGGGAAGGGAAGGTTGCATTGTGGAGCAAGGAGTCTCCTTGCCATGAAAAATGGCAGATATGTTTATTTTTCTCTCGCCTTCTGAAATTTTGATTTATTTATTTTTTGGTTAAACCTCCCAGTGCTTTATTCCCACCCATCCTCCTAACACTTTTGGAAAAAGAGCAGAGATTCAGATATACCTGCACCCACCGCATCCAGAATTGTAAGCCTTTCTTCCTAACACCTGAATGAGAAACTACAGGGGCTTCTCAGTGGCAACAAAGAGGAGCAGGGAGTGCACTCTGTGTGTGCTCAGGGGCAATCTGTTCAAATCTCTAGAGCTCCTTATATCAAAGTTTAAGCAAGAAAACAACCCGATGGCAGCTGATTCGCACAACTATTTCAGTATGGGGAAGCCACCATGAAACGCTGCCCTCCTGCTTCTCAGCACTACAATTTCCGCTGGTGCTCAGCCAAAAGGCTCCGAAACTAGAACCGTCTGCTTGAGTTTTGAATTTGAAAGAGTGCTAAAATCAGCAAATTGCAGAGGTATGGGGATTTTTTTGTTGGTTGTGGAGAGACTTGTAGCTGCAGCTCCTCTGGGCAGCCCCCAATGTTTTTCTCCCCAGTAACCCAGGAGTGATATTAAGAGAAGAAAGAAAGAAACTGGAAGACTTCCATGCCGGCAATGGATAAGAACATAACATAAGGAGAGTCTGTTGCGTCAGGCCAATGGCCCATCTAATCCACAATCCTGTTCTCACAATGGCTTGACCTGTGGGAAACCTGTAAGCGGGATTCGAGGCCAAGAGCCCTCTCCCCTCCTGCGTTTTCCAGGAGCTGGTATTTAGAAGCCATCAACTGTGGAAGCAGAGGACAGCCATCATGGTTAGTAGCCACTGAAAGCCTTCTCTTCCATGAAGCCCTCACTTCATGACCCACAGATTTGGCATGATGTTAATGCCTGCTCCGTCATCCCTTCAAAATATAGGCTGAGCCATCAGCTTTCACTGAAGGTAGGTGCTCAGACCTGGTGAATCCCGGCACAGATTTAGCCCTGCTTCATCCCTGGGATACTGATTTCCTTCTACCCCAAATTGGAAATGGAGCCCAGATGTTGTCCCTGTTCTGTGTTCTGCTCCCTGAGATGAAAGAGCCCTTGCCTGATGGGAAAGCAATTGACTTTTATTTTACTGTTTCCTTGATTACATATGTAATTTTCCCTCCTCCAAGTAACTGCTTGTCGACAAGTTAGCTAGGGTTGCCTCCTTTTCCAAGGCATACTTTCAGCAGCCGCACAACAGGAATTCAACAGTGTTCGCGCTCCCCATCATTTTGGGGAGGACTGCACCTGTCAAATTTCTGCCTGCCACACAACTGCTAAAACCACAGCCTCCGATTGGAAAAGGGGAGTTGGCAACACCTACATTTACAACCCCCCTTCTTATGTTGGTGAAGAGACTCTCTTCCTCCAAAATGAATCCCATTTCATCTTAATTTTGACCACGATTTTGGCTTACCCATAGTATGGCAAGGACACTACCCTTGACCTCAGTTCCTGAGGCAAACTGGTCTCTCCCTGTATCTGACATTTGCATTCTCTAGACTCTCAGGACCAAATGGAGCAGGGGCAAGCAACCGTGGACATCCATTTATTGTAGGACTCCCAGATGGCCTGTCCAGCCATCATGGTCAGTGGTCAAGCATGATGGAAATTATAGTCCGGCAATGAGAGCTATAGGTCCCCCATGCCTGAAACAGAGGTTTGATTTCAACCACACAGAGATCTATTGCAATTTGGCAAGGGGAGACCCAGCTCAATATTTCATTTTGAAAATATAATACATATTGCCTGAGTGCTTTTCCGCACGCAGATGTGTACGTGCTTGCAAATGCAACACCATGATCAATTTCTCTGCAAATTGTGGGTACTCCTCAGATGCTGGCTTTGTCCAGATGCCTGAGCATCCTCGTGAGCAACTGGTATGCTGATTATCTGCAACATCCATGCTCAGGTGGAGGAAGGTGAGGGTGGCCACATCTGGGAGGTGGGCATCCCAAAACATCTGCAGATCCACATGTTTTCCCCCCACATCCCCGCTCTACACAGAGACAACAAAGATATCACAAGGGTTCAGGTGTTCCGTCTTTGCAGCGTTACTTAAGGCACTTTTGGTTAGGGTGTGGTACAAGCAGTGGTTAAAAACCCTTCTCAGTGGCAGCGGCCAAAGGAAATGCTCCATTTTCCACTGCAAAGGAAGAAAATGCTCTAGTCTTTGTTTGCTTCTCAGCTCACTGCCGAGGATCAAGGGAGTAAACACTGCACATCTCTGAAGCAGGTGACTCCACTGAAGTCAGCTGTGAAAATCCCACAGACATGCTAGATTGGGGTTTCAGCCTCGTCTTGGAAAGCTGACTCCTGCTTTGCGGAAGCCATTAAACAGTTCAAAGGAGGGCATGGCTACGTATATGGATTAGTAAACCTTTAGCGAGTGCAGCAGTGGTCTTCCTGCAAACCTGATCAACCACTCAGAGCAGCGTTGTAAGATGTTGCGGCAGCTTCTGCAGGCGGGCAGGTTGCGTTCCACCAACGAGGTTAGAAATTAAAAGGGTTATTTCAGTCATTTAAAGCAGAATGGAAGGAGGAAAGGGGAGGCATGGTTTGGACTGACAGGTGCTTAGCACAGAGAACCCCCTATGGAGGAACAGTGGTCTTGATGCAATGAAGCCTTGGACGCAGAATTCTCACACTTTTTCCTCCATAAACCCAGGCCCTGACCACAAACTTGCAAGCTGGTGTGGGCTGCCGTTGGAATCGATGCAGCCAGAAGTGACACGACTTCCAGTTCACACACAACCTATCAGGTACCAAACGTAAGGATAAAACGGGGGCATAAGAGGCGGCAATGGATAGATTGGCAAGAGTGTGGAAAGCGGAAAAGGATGGATTGGCAAGGAGGAAAGCAGAGGAACGGGGAAAGCAGAGGAAGGGAAGACATCTCAAATGCAACCAGCACAGCAAGGGAGGTGATACCTGAGAGCCATACTGAGCAAATCTGGAGTCCCAGGCCCTCTACATCACGAGGATAAGCCATTTAACTAGAGGGCAGGCCTTGCAGCCAGCACACCCTCTCCCTGTTCCATCTGACAGGGGATACTGCCCAGGAATATACTCTGGAAGCATCATGGCACAACCTGGTGACTTCTCTTTAGGAGTAACAAGACATGTGCAAAGGGTTCCGCCACTTCCAGGTAGCTGACTCTTGCATCGAGGGGGCAGGCTTGGTGAAGGATGGCGGAGAGAGGCTTCTTGCCAACCCACTAGATGGTCCTGAAATGCATTGCTCATTTGGCAAGACCCCCAAAAAGAACCCCATTGCTAGCGCCGTCTTGGGGCCGGTTCCGTTCCCGACAGAGAAGCCACCCCCACCTCGTCGTCGTCAGGCTATATACCTTCTTAGATCCACACGGAGTTCTTCCCATCCTTGCCGTTTGAGCTACCTTTCTCTGAGCTGGCTTTGGGCTTAGCGCCTTGCTTCTCCTGCGCGGTATTGGCCCGGTTCTGCTCTGCCACCATCCCGCCGGAAGCCGAGCTGCTGGTTCTGGACGGCTGCCCGTTCGCCTGCGTGTGGTTGTAGCTCTGGAAAGCAATGTCCAGCTGCTCCTGAGCCACCCGCAAGTGTTTGTGGAGCGTGGACAGGTCCGGCGGGAGGTTCTCGTCGGGGCTGGTGCACTGCTGCTCCTGGGCCACGTTGGCCAAGTTCTGCTCATGAGCCATCAGGCTGTTGGGGACCTTGGCCTGCTTGTCCGACTTGACCACCAGGTTGTATTCCGGGGGGCAGGAGATGTTCTTCGGGTAGGCGGCATAATTGTAGGGCGGCTGGCGGAAGCTGTGCACCTTCCGGTCGTGGATGGCGTCGCGGATGGTGCCGATGCCCAGATGGCACATCTCGGCCACGTTGAGAAGCAGGCAGAGGCAGCTGACGACATACATCACCAGGAGGAAGATGGTCTTCTCCGTCGGCCTCGAGACAAAGCAGTCGACGTCGTGGGGGCACGGCTGCCGGGTGCAAAGGTAGTAGGGCGTGACCTCGAAGCCATAGAGCATGTACTGCCCTATCAAGAAGCAGATTTCGAAAGAGGCTCTGGTGAGGAGCTGGAAGACGTAGATCTTCATCAAGCCCTCCTCTTGAATGTGTCTCCTGCCGTCGTGCTTCTTCTGCTGCTGCTCCTTCTTCTTCTCCTCCTTCGTCTTGACCTTCTCTTCGCTTTCCGCCACATCATCCACTATCATGGGCTCTTCCTCCTCAGCTCCCAGGGGGTCCTCCAGGTTGCGGACGGCTTGCCAGTTGAGTGCGAATTGCTTCTTCTTCTTGAAGCCCCGGAACCTCTTCTTCTCCTCCTCGGAGGACCTGGCGATCCTGTGGATGGCGTAGCCCAAGTAGATGACGGAAGGGGTGGAGATCATGATGATCTGGAAGACCCAGAAGCGGACGTGCGACAGCGGGGCGAAGGCATCGTAGCAGACGTTGTCGCAGCCGGGCTGCTTGGTGTTGCAGGTGAACTTGCTCTGCTCATCCGAGTAGATGGACTCGCCCCCGACGGCCGTCAGGACGATGCGGAAGACGATCAGGACCGTCAGCCAGATCTTCCCCACGAAAGTGGAGTGATTGTGGATTTCTTCCAGCAGGCGGGTGAGGAAACTCCAGCTCATGTTTGTCATAGGGGCTAATCATTTATAACCTGCAAGAAAAGGACAAGGGAGGTCGAAGAACAGTTAATGCCGGTCTGTCCCACAGAAGATGCTGCTGTTACACCATAAAAGGGTAAAGGGACCCCTGACCATTAGGTCCGGTCGTGGCCGACTCTGGGGTTGCGGCGCTCATCTCGTTTTATTGGCCAAGGGAGTCGGTGTACAGCTTCCGGGTCATGTGGCCAGCATGACTCAGCTGCCTCTGGCGAAGCAGAGCAGCACACGGAAATGCCGTTTACCTTCCCGCCAGAGCGGTACCTATTTATTTACTTGCACTTTGATGTGCTTTCGAACTGCTAGGTTTGCAGGAGCAGGGACCGAGCACCCCATCATGGGGATTCGAACCGCCGACCTTCTGATCGGCAAGTCCTAGGCTCTGTGGTTTAACCCACAGCGCCACCCGCGTCCCTTATCTGCTACACCATAGAGTCACCTAGTCCAGCCCCCTGCAATGCAGGAATCCTTTTGGCCAACATAGGTCTCGAACTCACAACCCTGAGATTAAGAGTCTCATGCTATGCCAACTGAGCTATCCCACCTGCTTCCAATGGGGAGTTTTCCAAGGCTTATATATGCTCTGCCACCCCTGTTTTTGCATAAGAGCAACCTAAATTATGGATAAAAAATGACAATAAATCATGTGCAGCAGGTACTGCGTAAAGGTAAAGGGACCCCTGACCATTAGGTCCAGTCGTGTCTGACTCTGGGGTTGCAGCACTCATCTCGCTTTATTGGCAGAGGGAGCCGGTGTACAGCTTCCGGGTCATGTGGCCAGCAGGACTAAGCCGCTTCTGGCGAACCAGAGCAGCACACGGAAACGCCGTTTACCTTCCTGTCGGAGCAGTACCTATTTATCTACTTGCACTGGTGTGCTTTCAAACTGCTAGATTGGCATGAGCAGGGAGTGAGCAATGGGAGCTCACCCCGTCACAGGGATTCGAACCACCGGCCTTCTGATCGGCAAGCCCTAGGCTCTGTGGTATGCTCCCTCCCCTCACCCTTCTGCCAGGGTGGATGGGCAGAAAAATAGCTGCAGCCGCGGTAGTGCATCTGCTTTGCATGCAGAAGTACCCGGGTTCAATCCCAGACATTTCCAGGCAGGGTTGGGATCTGACCTTCTCTGAAATCCTGGAGAGCTGCTGCCAGTCAGTGCAAACCTCACTGAGCTAGATGGACCATCAGTCTGACTTGGTACAGTGGTACCTCGGGTTACAAACACTTCAGGTTACATGCAGTGGTTCTCAACCTGTGGGTCTCCAGATGTTGTTGGACTACAACTCCCATCACCCCTGAGCTCTGGCCTTGCTCGCTAGGAGTGATGGGAGTTGTAGTTCAACAACATCTGGGGACCCACAGGTTGAGAAAGGCTGGGTTACAGACTCCGCTAACCCGGAAGTAGTATCTCAGGTTAAGAAATCACGCAGCGGGAGGCCCCATTAGCTAAAGTGGTACCTCAGGTTAAGAACTGTTTCAGGTTAAGAACGGACCTTCAGAACGAATTAAGTTCTTAACCCGAGGTACCACTGTATAAGGCAGCTTTCTACTATTCTAAAAATAGAGGCACTGAGTCAGAGAGGGATGTCGAACTGAGGTATGAAATCTCTTTTGTACACACTTTTTCCTTACAAGAGGAAACCCCCCAGGGCAAAGCCTGGACTTCCCTCTTGATAAAGACTGGGCAGAGTCATCAGAGGCTGGGTAAAATTGCTTCGCAGGCTGTGGAGCCAAGTGCCGTTGGCGAACCCTATTCTAAGACCTGCTGGCAGTTTTGGGCTGTGTTTTCATATCTCTAATAACATTTACAGTGGTACCTCGGGTTACATACGCTTCAGGTTACAGACTCTGCTAACCCAGAAATAGTGCCTCGGGTTAAGAACTTTGCTTCAGGATGAGAACAGAAATTGTGCTCCGGTGGCGCAGCGGCAGCAGGAGGCCCCATTAGCTAAAGTGGTGCTTCAGGTTAAGAACAGACCTCCGGAACGAATTAAGTTCTTAGCCCGAGCTACCACTGCACTTAGCATTTCCGCAGCGCTTACCACATCTCAGTAATTCTTACAACATCAGCCCTGTAAGGTAGGGCAGCATTATCCTAAACTGGTGGTTCTCAAAAGGTGTGGCAGGAGAGGATGGGAAGTGTTGTGGGAAGATTCAAGGACCATCAAAGAAGCATTTAAACATTTCAATGTAGTATAGTATAGTATAGTATAGTATAGTATAGTATAGTATAGTATAGTACACACACACACACACACACACACACACACACACAACCAAGAACAGTATCCACACTTTTCTTCCAGAGCACTGGCTTTTCTCCTACAGTTCTCCACGGCATATTTTTGTGAACAGGGATTTTACATTCTGACCAATAAGAAAGAGCAGGAAAGAGAAAGGCGGCTTCTTTGCATTGATGAGGAGACGAGAGTTAGTCTGTCTCTAATTAGACCCCAATATAAATGAGATTATCTGGCAAAAGCAAGCTAATCACACCTCTCACTGACTTTGCATACATACTTAAGGTACATATGGAAGAGGCTCATTTATAATTGTATTTTGGGAAAGATTCGCTTTCTTATGTACAGTAGCTGCATTGTTTTATACTTTTGGGATGTCCCATGATCGTTTTATAGTAGTTGTGTTCTATGTCATAAATCAAGCACTGTTGGGAGTCAACTCTTTTTTTTATTATCAATAAAGAATTCACTGTGGCATGAACACAATTTTAATTCTAAAGCGTGGCCCAGAGAAAAAAAGTTAGAGAACCTCTGTTCTAAACCATATTGTACGGTTGTGGCCAAGAGAACAGGGGGAGGAGGTTGCCCTAATGTCCCCTAGTGAGGCCAAACCAGAGGTACGTCTCAAGCCCATCATGCAATTCCTGGTTTGTGTGCCATGATACCTAGCGTTCCTTAGTATCCCCCCCCCTTTTTTTTTTGCTTAAAGTTTATTTAGAACAAACACATTTTTCCAAATGACAGTCTAACATGTGCAATCGAGAGGTCTTTCAGCTATCTACCCTCTGCAGAACCTATTTGGGCTTCTGTGTTGTGGGCTTTCTCAGTCGCAGTGACTTCTTCAGAGGGACTTCAGAGCTGTAGTAACTCAACAGGCCAGATTGCTGTTGACCTGCAAGACGCTGCTCCTGTTGTGAGAGCACCACAATTTCCTCACAGTGAAAGCTGCTAGCTGTGTTTTTCGGACAGCTGAGACCTCCAGGTATGGGGCAGTATATAAAATCAGCTAACAACAGCTGTGTTTCTTGTGCCTCTGAAGGACCAGGTGCTCAGCCTGGGAGTCATTTTGGACTCACAGGTGTCCATGGAGATGCAGGTCAATTCTGTGTTGAGGGCAGCTGTCTACCAGCTCCATCTGGTACGCAGAAAGAGACCCTACCTGCCCATGGACTGTCTTGCAGGAGTGAGCGTTCCTTAGTATTGAAGTCCAGGCTTCTAGTATGGGGTGGGTGGGCTGGGGGCAGAGCCCAGAGCAGGCCTCAGGAGGAGCTCCACGATTTGGGGCATGTTCAGGGTTGGATTCCCCTGGCCTGGTACAAAGCCCAGCACAACTGCTGTCTCTTGTTGACATCTGTTGCTGCAATATTTGTCAACTCCTCTCCAAATGGTTCCATTCCAGCAGGCCATTATGGGAATTTTGTACCTTAAGCCCAAGTGCCCGAGCTTCCTTTTTTCCTCCTCCCTCTCAATTCTTTTTCCTTTCATGCTGTGTCTTTGACGTGGTAAACCTGATGGCAGGTACTGTCTTAACGCTGATACAGTGGTACCTCAGGTTACAGACGCTTCAGGTTACAAACACTTCAGGTTACAGACTCCGCTAACCCAGAAATAGTATCTGAGGTTAAGAACTTTGCTTCAGGATGAGAACAGAAATTGCGCGGCGGTGGTGCGAGGCCCCATTAGCTAAAGTGGTACCTCAGGTTAAGAACAGTTTCAGGTTAAGAACAGATTTCCAGAATGAATTAAGTTCTTAATCCGAGGTACCACTGTACTTGTAAAACTTTTTCAGTGAAAGAGTGATATTAAAATGCTAATAATGATAATAATATTGTATTTTACTGTTTTGTTGGAAGCCGCCCAGAGTGGCTGGGGAAACCCAGCCAGATGGGTGGGGTATAAATAATATATTATTATTATTATTATTATTATTATTATTATTATTATTACTACAAATAGCAGTTTTCTGAGGAAGGCAGTATGGTTCATTGCTAGAAGGAAACTCTCCCTGGCTCTTTCTATATCCTCTTCAGTCTTTATTCAGCCAGTAGGAGAAACTTCCTGCAAGACAGCCAATGTGAATGGATAGCGTGCGCTACAGCTCTGCCTCTGACTGTTAACAAAGGACTCAGCTACACAGCTGCGAATAAAACGTTTTAAATGTGTTGTAAAGTACAATATACAAATGTGACACTCGAATGGAGACAGTGAGCGATGCAAAATTCAATGCATTTTTCAAAAGAGCAATTTCACAGCGTTTTTTTATATATGTGTGTGTGTAGATTCCACCAAACTATGTTTGGTCAGAGGGACTGGCTTGGTACAAACTCAGGGTGGAAAATGGGACTGATAATAGCTCAGCTTCTAAGTAGGACTGCCATAAAGACTTCCTTGTAGAACAAATAATTATGCATTGTAAAAACCATGAGTCACGATCATTGACTGACTTCCTTCTATCTCGCCCCTCAATTTTTTTATTAAAGCATGACTTCATTGGCCTGGGTTCAGGGATGGACAAAGGGGGGTGCGGTGGGTGCAGGCCCCCCGGGTGTCACCACTGAGGGGGGGGGTGACAAAATGCCGGGCGGCACTCACCGCGGGGCCTGCAGCGCGCCCGAGCCACACGTCTCTCCTGGGATTGACGCGGTGGCTGGGACACACGCAAGCTCTGCGCTGCCCAAACGGTCCGCCCGCTGCCTCCCCCCCCCCAGCTGTAGCGTGGCTGAGTGGGAGGAGGCAGGCAGACTCCAGAGGCTCCG